AGCAATATCAGTTCCCCAAAACCCCAAAACCCCATGTGAATAATTCAATGAATTTAAAAAGAATGTTAATAAATTAAATACTTAAAAAGAGTTATCTATCTGCATTTGATTTTCATTTGGGTATGTTCATCATCATCATATTTCCTTAATTGAAGGAATACTATTAAGGATTTTGTTGGAACTGATATTGCTGCTGCATTTAGTTTTTCATCATCTACTGCTAGATCAATAAATTCATATTCTAAGGAACCTAATTAAAGTTCTATACCATATGCATATTGTAGCTGTTTTAGTTTATCATCTAGTTTTGAATTTGCATTTACTATCCTTAATAATTCATTTGGTTTTACATTCTTTAAGGTTACTGACTCATATTCAATCCAGAAAACATATTAACTTATGATTGTTACCCATTTGATTATAATACCTGCTATTGCTAGAATTGATTATAATTTTATTATGGTTAAGGTTACTATTGTTAGCTTTTAACTTATAAATTTTAAAATAGATTTTAGCTTTATTGATATTGGCCTTAAAATTGCTAGAATTGCTGCTAAGTTTAGGAAATTATCTAATTCTAAGAATTCATCAAATTATTTGGGCCGATCATTTGTTGATTGATTTGGATTTAGGATAAAGATGCATTCTAATTGAATTACTAGGGTTATTGATTTACTTATTAATTTTGATTGTAGAAGTTACTCAGAGTCTAGATGTTTTAACTTAATCCTGCTTAATTAGTTTACATTTAGTAATGGTTGTTCTGAGTTTAAGTATTGAATAAGTTATTCTGTCCAAAATTAATATTACCTTGGTTCATTTAATTGAAGTTATTAGATTGAATAAATTATTGGGGCTAGTTCATTTGATTACTGAAATTGAGTATATTTTGATTCGACTAAGAATGAGATGGTTTGCTAGGAGCATCAAGATTTATTAAATCTCCAATATCTAACTATGTGTTAGATTAGCTATGATGGCTCATCTAGTTAATCGCTTGCTAATCTTTTCTATCACTGCTATTTTAATTTTAATTCTAATTCTGCTATGTCTTAATTTGGACATTCTATTTTTTCTAAGCATCTGTACTTTAGTTTTTGTCGTCTTTATTTACAGTAGCAATAGTTTCTTCAGATCCATATAACCTTCTCGCATATTATTCAAATTCATCTCTTGATCTATAGTATAATTTAGCAGGGTCTTCAGACATAGCAGTATTTACCCACCTCTTATTAACATATTTGTCCTTAATAAATGATTCAACCTCAGAAGGACTAGAATCAATCGTTAACTTGTTATATCCCTAAGGTAGTCTTTACTCCCAGTATGAATTAGCAATATAGTTATTGATGTATTTGTATAACTCAACAACTTCAGGTTGCCATTTATCAAGGTTAACTGATTTTATCTTTGTTATATGAACTTATAGTTATCTGTGCATTCCTGAGCATCTTAAGCAGACAAAAGTTCCAAAAGTAATTGAGGCCCATTTTGGATTCTTCATGTTGCAATCAGCACAAGTTTTGTTCTCAGGCTTTGTCAAGACTGCCTCAAGAATTTTAGTCTATGTATTCATGTCCATTTTACTGAAGGTATGTGACTAGTTGATATAATATGAATAATTAATTTTCTTTATATTTCTCCTAACACTCTAATTAAAATAATAGTAATTTCACGGGGTTTTGGGGTTTTGGGGTTTTGGGG